TAATAAAGGCAAATGTAATCACCCATAACTTTTTTTCTCGTAGTGATATTGTACCGACTATTTGGTTTCGTTTGGTTAAATTATTATTATTTTAGTTAAAAGATTGGGTAACAATATCCCTAACCCAACAGAAATCCATACCGAACCGATATATAGTGTAACTTTCACTATAACATTTATCTCTATGTTAAGTGTTAAGCATTATAGTTTACCTTCTTGTTTTCTTCCTCTTTTCAGGCCTATGAATATAGCCATTGGCATTGCTACTACCACAAGAATAGAAAACCCACCAATTGATGCTATTATTGGAATGACTAGATTTTTCTTCTTCTTCTCCATCTTTTTGCATGAAGTTAATGCACATAGGTCTGCATCTTCTCCCACACCAGCATCAAGAAGGTTCATCATGAATAATCAGTCTTGGAAATTGGAATTGTAGCAATCCCTAGTATAATAGTCAAAGTGGTATGAATAGGCCTAGGCTAGCAACTCCTACAAATTTTAATACTTCTTTGCAACAAAAAAACTCCCACATCAGTTTCACCTTCATTTTTCATCCTCTATAAAAAGCTTCATCCTACCATATTGTTCTACAAGCTTGAATGAATATTTTTTTCTTGGGCTTGAGTTGGAGTTTTTCAACTAGCATTAGTAATAAATATTTTTAGTCTCAAGAGCTTTTGTTAAATGGTACTACCGGCCTACCAAACCAATCTGAACCGTACACGTGATTAACCGATCGAAATGGTTAAAGATTCTGTTGAAGAATATAAGTCCCACATAGGAAACTTAACTAAATGAATATAGTATATAATGAATGGGACCACTCCTAATAACACCGAGGCCTTTTGTGATAAAACTCCACACCTACTGGGCTTTGTAGGTGGTTAAGTTGGGGACAATATTGGTGTTACTAGTAGTGGGCCGATGGCCCGCCTCTTTGAAATTTAACATGATATCAGAGCGGATTCATTGACTAGGCCTGAAATATTGGGCCTTTACCCTTACCCCAAGGTCTAAAATATCGATGGTATCAGAAATATCGATAGTCCAAAAACACGGAAATTTCGATGGAAATATCAGGATATTATCGATATCGATAAAAATTGAATAAAAACCACATAAATTTTAAGAAAAACTTGGAAATTTTTATTGAAACTTTGGAGGATATTTATTTAGTCAATTATCTATTAGTTTATCACAAAAAAATGGAAGGAAATACATTGCATGATGGGTTTAACTTATTTAAGTTGATTATATAGCGAGTTGACAAACATTGTGAGTGTAGAAAATATGTAGTAATTAAGGAAAGAAGATTAAACACTCCATAATCATTCATATATAATGATTTACTACAATACTTTACACTTTATACATTGCATGGTATGATACATGAGTGACTTAGTACCACATAGAGTTCCTATGAGGTTCAAATTTTTCACTATCTTCATCATCTCTATGTGTAGAGTAAGTGTATTGTGAAGAGTAGTCATCAAATGATAAATCCCCAAAATAGTTTTGCATGTAATTATTAACATGCCACCTATATGGATCCAAGATTGGTTGACGTTGTCCATAAGGAAAATCATTTGAAGATTGGGTCTCAGATTCTTTCCATAAGCCGCTCGATTCTATCCCAAAAGGAAAAGTCAAAGACTCACATTCTCATGTGAAAATCTAATTCTTTTTTTGGTTGCAAGGAAACAAAACAATATAAATATACATATTTTAGCATATTATCACAAAAATATAAGCAACATAGTGGTTAAGGCGTTGGAGGAGTGAAATGGTAGGAGTTTGAATCCCCTTTGCGTGTGTGCTTTGTGTTTTTTTTTTCTTCATTTTTTCCATTACATCGATATTTTCGATATTATAGTGATATTTTGACAAAATATTGCTAAAGTGTGAGCGAAATTATCGACATTGATATTTTCCGATATTATCGATATTTATATGATATGTGTATGGATACATTTCGATATTTTGACAAAATATTGCTAAAGTGTGAGCGAAATTATCGACATTGATATTTTCCGATATTATCGATATTTATACGATATGTGTATGGATACGTTTCAAAATATCCGTGACTAAAAAAAAATGATAATATCCTTGATATTTCGTCGATATTATCAATATTTTATATTATGCCCCTTACCCAATATGTGGTGTTCACAAGTTGGGCTTGAATGTTTACCCTTACCCCTTACCTAATACATGGTGTTCACATATTGGGCTTGAATTTTTGACTCCGTTGTGGACTTGGCTTCATTTGTGGCTCACCATGTGGTGGTCTCACATAAGGGGCATGTTGAAGAATATAAATGTCACATAGGAAACTTGACTAAATTAGATACAATATATAATGAATGACACCACTCCTAATAACATCATGACCTTTTGTGATAAAACCTCACACCTACTGGGGTTTGTAGGTGGTTAAGTTGAAGACAATATTGGTGTTATGATGACCCATCTACCGTTCCAAACTGATCCATGCCAAGGCCTAGTAGCACTGTAAAATCGATCTGTGCTCAGGCCTAATAGCTTCATCAAATAATATGAGGGGGGAGGTTTATAATGACTAATACGACATAGAAAACACATTTTTTTTTATAAAAAAAAAAAAAACACTTTCTATGTCTTTAGCTTTTTTCGTCAACATGGAAAATAAGGAATAGTTTATTGAATATGTCATTAGATATTAACATCCAATAATTTTGTACGTAACGACCAAGCAAAGGCCTATAATTTTCATATAAAAATGATTGTATAAAATTGTCATTTGGGTAACTTTTTGCTTGTTATATTATATTATATTATATATTTATTAAGTAAAAATATATAATATATCATTTATTGGGTTGAGTTTGGGGATGAGGATAACAATACCATCCCTGGTCCGTTCTCAATCGGGGATTTTTAAAATTTGGGGATCCCATACCCGCCCCTGATTTTCTCCCAACATCTTCCCCCGTTAGGGCGGGTAACCGACAGGGACCCGACCAGGCGGGTATTTTTGCCATCCATCCTACTCACCTTGTAAATTTGAAAAAAATACAATCCTATCTTTCCACCCACCATTATTCCTAAAATACCCTTTAATTATTAATTCAAGCAAATTATCTTTGCTAATCATTACTAGTTTAGATATAAAGAGGATTAAGTTGTGTTTGACGGACTGGATAAATGTTTTAGTATAATATTTTGATTTTCTAGATATTTTAGTTTTTTATTCTCTACCTTGTAGATTCTGAAAATATTTTTGATAAATGTTTTAAAGAGAGTTGAGGTTTTTTCCTTAAGGCTCATTTTACAAAGAGGTAAATTTGTCTTTAAAATTTTGAAGATAAGGTGGGTGAATAAAAAGGATAGGGGTTTAAAATAGCAACACTCTATCGGAAAAACTACTTCATTTTAAAGGAACAAATACGTAAACCAATTGACTACTAAATTACAAATGACCATAAAAAAAAATGAAACAAGTTTCATGTTCAACAAAAAATTCTTTATAATAAGGATAAAAGTAATAGAAAAAAGAAGAAGCTTATTCACACTTACTTGAGGTTATAAAGAAAACTACAAGGAGATGGGGGGTTCGAACTTGAGACCCTTGATCTGCAAATCAATGTTCTTTTTCACCGAATTATACATCGTTGATGATATATTATATTATTAAATTGGAAATAAGCATCACCTGATTCTACTTAATCAATAGACAATAGTATATAGATTAACAATCTGTCTATATAGTATATATGTCAGACCAGCTCACAAGAATTATGAATTTATAGATGTTTATTTTTTTATCAAGCAAATGAGGTGTGTATAATGTTTGATTTAAGTTTGCCTCCAATACCAAAAAGATAATAAAGGAGAAAAATGAGAACCTATAAAGCAAGGGCACATAGAAAAAACATTCTTTCTCTTCAATTCGTGGAGATCTGAACGTTTGTGTGTGCGGCTATTGCTTTGCAACCCATCCAAATCAAGCCCTACAATTAGGGCTTAATTATCTTGATCCAGCTAATCATATACCAGTCCACTTGCAAAGTATTATTAAATAATTACGTAAAGTAGTTTGCAAAGCAACGCAGGAAGCAAAGAACCAACTCATCCTTCCTAGGCAAAGTCGAGGAAAGCAGCCAACCACAAGAATTTCCTCTCTCTCTCTCTCTCTCTCTCTCTCTCTCTCTAACAAAGCATATTGGTATATTGTGGTGGGTCCAATTAATATATAAATTCTACTTTCTATATACCTATAGAATTAATCACAAGAAAGAGGTACTAACCATTACCAATTGGTATACTTCCATACTCTTTTTATTTTAGCTCTACTTCCATCTTCTTCTTTTACACGTTTTGAACTCAAAAACTCATATATATGCTAACTAATCCTACCAAGGGTGGAGCTATGAATTTTATAAAAGAGGTGCTATAATTTCTTTACGGTTAAGAAGCTGCTTTGCTGGAGTGGACTAATTTCTACTAGATATGTTCAACTTCCTAAAATTAGCACTAAATTCCTATTTTTCTAAATATTTACGCTCAGCTAAAGGTAAGTAGCATCGCATGCCTTCTCATTATTTTATATTTAGGGTTTTCCCTTAAAAAGAAAGTCTAGGTTTTTTTTCTTCCTTTCATCGAGTATTTCTTAGAAGTTGAGCTCATTATTTTTACATCTAAATCATCATATAATCATTGAAATATGACGTAAAATGCTTTATCAAAGATAAAATATGTCTTTTGTCGTAATATCTTTGTTTCTTTAATTTTTACTTATCAAAATTAGAAAGGAAGAAGAGAAAAAACTCACATACACGATAATTTTATTTTTCTGATCCGAACACACACGGTACGGTACCTTAAACTAATCTAACACAAAAAAATACTGTAATAAATACAAACATATGCAACGCGTGACATGTAAATAGTTAGAAAAGGTAAATGAAAATCGCACCCAAACTCCCACTTGCCCCAAAGCTTGGAAATCGCTTTTTCCCAAGCACGAAAGCCACGCCGACAAATCCACTGTTCTCCATGCTCTTCTGAATTTCTGACACACCCAAACAACCCCCCCAGATCCAATGCACACCAATCCAACCCCTCACGTGCCACTCATACGGTCCCGTCCCCCTCGCACGTGCCGACCATCCCCGCCTTTTTCTCTCACCCCACTGTCCTCAGATTCCCACCTGCAACAAGACCACCCCAAAAGGGAAAGAAACCCCAAATGCATGCATGCTCACACCGCCAACCACAGCCCCCGATCCGAACCCGATTAGGGTTTTCTGCACTTCGCGTCGCGTAGATCCACAGAGCTCCGAAAGCTCCATTATCAACTGCTCCGAATTCTCGAGGAGGTTGTAGAAATTTCTGGAAGGTTTGCCTCTCAGCAATGGAGTCCATAATGGCTCTGGCTCTGGAGTACACTCTCAAGTACTGGTTGAAGTCCTTCTCCAGAGACCAGTTCAAGTTGCAGGGACGGACCGCGCAGCTTTCTAATTTGGGTAAATTCGGCGATTCGTTTGCTTGGTTTTGTGATCAATTCGATCTGATTAGGGTTCGTTTTGAGTTTGCTTCTGAATTTGACAGACATAAACGGCGATGCTGTGCATTCGAGCATGGGATTGCCTCCGGCACTGAATGTAGCCACGGCCAAAGTCGGAAAACTGGAGATAGTGGTTGGTGACTGTTAATTCTGCATTCATTTATCGTGTGTTCGATATACTTCAATTGGTTTTGATTGATGTAAAGTGTCCGGCTGAAAGTTTGAAGGAAAATGAATTAGAGGAAATGAGAAGTTACAAAAGTCCCAAAATTGGTTGAGTATATCATTACACAATATGTGATTCTCTAGTTAGAGCTTGGTAGATGTATATTCCAGATGGGTTCGTTTATATGCATTGAGTGGCTTTTGTTTTTTTCCCCAATTCATGTATGGATATATAATTAATTAAATGATTTTGCTTTGTGTGATTTATAGCTCCCATCTGTGAGTAATGTACAAATAGAGCCGATTGTTGTGCAAATTGATAGGCTTGATTTGGTTTTAGAAGAGAAATCAGATATGGATGCAAGCAGCCCAAGAAGGTAAAGCCTAATTACATATCTTTCTTGATCTAACATTTCCATATTGAAAAAAGTTTTGTACTGCAGTCATAGATTTATTGAGCACTAAGTTTCACATGCAGTTCACCGTCATCCTCTAGCTCTGCGAAGGGTAGCGGTTATGGATTTGCTGATAAGGTAAGGTTCAATCAACGCAGTGAATGTATGTGTTACAGTGCACATAATGATAATATTGTCATTCTTTCAAACTAATGGAACTGGGAATCTCCATAAGAATTAAAATATTAGGGAATGTCATGCTTCTTGTAATTCAGGCATGCAAAGTTTTATGCAAGCTTCCCTACTGACAACTGTTTTCTTAAATTTTTGTTTTGAAGCATGCACATAGATTTGAACATTTATTCTGAAAGTTGCATTATTGACCTTTGTAAATTCCCAGATTGCAGATGGTATGACTGTGGAGATTCTCACAGTTAATCTTCTACTTGAAACTCGTGGGGGTGGTCGATGCCAAGGAGGGGCGAGTTGGTAATTTCCAAAGGCCCAGTTTTGTAGTTATATATTTATTTATTTATTTATACAGATGTGCTCTTATCCTACATGAATTGACCTTTTAAGAATTTGTGAAGTCATATTTTACCTTAAGCAATAATGATTTTCTTATTTATGGATCCCTTTGTAGGAATGTAGATTGTGATTAAAAACTTTTGGGCTCCAAACAAGGAATTGATTTTTTATACCTCAGCTTGATCAACAAGAAGAAAATCTTTTACCCATGAAATTTTTGGGATGGCTCTATTTTAGGGGTTCAGGGCTGTTTGGATGATGGTTTTAGATAGAAAAAACTGTAGGATTGATGAGTTCAAGTTTTAGGGCAAAAACAGTATGGAGACGCACTGTAGGCTTTTTTTGACATTTGAAATATGAAGTTGTATGGGTTAGTGCTTATAAAGCTCATACTTCTCTCATTTTTTGTTTTATTTTTTTATGCTTAACCCAGGGCATCACCTCTGGCCTCTATCACTATACGCAACCTTTTGCTGTATACTACTAATGAAAATTGGCAGGTAATGTGTTGGTTAAGCTCATATGAAAATTTTCTTTGGACCACTTTCATCCGTTCACCGGCTTATTTGAATAACATGTCCTGTAACAGGTTGTAAATCTTAAGGAAGCACGAGAGTTCTCCAGTGACAAAAAGTTCATTTATTTGTTCAAAGTAATGTGCTAATCTTTGTGCATCAGATCCGTATTTCCTTCTATCTCTATTTTCCATTTGTGGGGGTGGGGTGAGGGGCTAAGCGGTGCCTACTTTCCTTTCTTGAACTGCTCTAAATTCTAATTATATTTTGCACATCTCTTGCTCTTACTTCAAGTGTGTATGCCGCCGTGTTTGCAAGTGTGTGTTCCAATATTCTCTGACTACAGGTGTTAGGCTTCCCAAGTTTAACTTAGTTATTAAACGATGATAAATTCTTTTCTTACCAGAAACTTGAGTGGGAGTCTTTGTCTATCGATCTCCTGCCTCACCCTGATATGTTCATGGATGCTAATATAGCACGTACTGAGGATGGAGGAAACCAGCGAGATGATGATGGTGCAAAGCGAGTTTTCTTTGGTGGGGAGCGTTTTATAGAAGGAATTTCAGGAGAAGCTTATGTAATGTTGATATACACTTTTTAGTTAATTCTTGATGGATTTGTTTTACTCCATATATCAGTGTGAATCTAGGGAGCTTCTAGAGTTTTATGGGCTGTGTTACTGCATCTTTCTTGACTTTGTGACTTTAACCAGATCACAGTGCAAAGGACTGAATTGAACAGTCCACTTGGGCTTGAGGTTCAGATCCATATCACAGAGGCCATTTGTCCTGCAATAAGTGAACCAGGTAACAAGTGAAATTATTTGTTTCACTGGTTTCTATAAATATATGGTATATGTATAGCTTGGTGCTAATATATAATCACATGGTGCAGGCCTACGTGCTCTTCTCCGCTTTATGACAGGATTGTATGTCTGCCTGAATAGGGGAGATGTAGATTCAAACACTCAGCAGGTTTGCTGTTACCTTTACTTCATTCTCATCCTATTTTCTAGCTAATCTATTATGATTCTCCTTTTCTTCTTCTGTCTCTCTCTCTCTCTCTACATCTCTCATGAAATTTTTGCAGCGATCCACAGAAGCAGCAGGACGTTCTATAGTCTCAATTGTTGTGGACCACATATTTCTCTGCATTAAAGATGCTGGTTTGTGATTTTCCTTTACAAGTGCTATAGGGATTCGATACTTTTGTACAGCAAGATAAAAAGATGTATGTTATTACAAATGTTAATTTTAAGCATTCTCAGAAGTCTTGGGTATACTTGCAGAGTTCCAGCTCGAACTTTTGATGCAATCACTCTTCTTCTCACGGGTACTGTTCTATGACTCTTACTTATTAAATTAAAATTTTCATTGCCATTGTCTTAGTATGCTATAACTCTTGGATTTACTATTTTTAAAAATAATATTCAGTCTATGGAATGCTTATACATCAAGGAGTGTCCTATGTATATTATACTTCACAATTTTGTAGAGAGCCTCAATTGAGTTATCCTCAAATAAAATTTGAGGGACACCTGATGTAGTACAGCCCATAGGTGTTAGATTAAGCACTTAAACAATAGAACACAGAAGAATATAAGAGACCGAGGAGACGAAAATATAGATTGAAAAGACGTAAGAAAGGGCAGAACAGTAGAACAAGAAGAATATCGGAGGTCGAGGAGACGAAAATATAGATCAAAGGGACGAAAGAAAGGAATCTGCCTGAATAGGGGAGATGTAGATTCAAACACTCAGCAGGTTTGCTGTTACCTTTACTTCATTCTCATCCTATTTTCTAGCTAATCTATTATGATTCTCCTTTTCTTCTTCTGTCTCTCTCTCTCTCTCTACATCTCTCATGAAATTTTTGCAGCGATCCACAGAAGCAGCAGGACGTTCTATAGTCTCAATTGTTGTGGACCACATATTTCTCTGCATTAAAGATGCTGGTTTGTGATTTTCCTTTACAAGTGCTATAGGGATTCGATACTTTTGTACAGCAAGATAAAAAGATGTATGTTATTACAAATGTTAATTTTAAGCATTCTCAGAAGTCTTGGGTATACTTGCAGAGTTCCAGCTCGAACTTTTGATGCAATCACTCTTCTTCTCACGGGTACTGTTCTATGACTCTTACTTATTAAATTAAAATTTTCATTGCCATTGTCTTAGTATGCTATAACTCTTGGATTTACTATTTTTTAAAATAATATTCAGTCTATGGAATGCTTATACATCAAGGAGTGTCCTATGTATATTATACTTCACAATTTTGTAGAGAGCCTCAATTGAGTTATCCTCAAATAAAATTTGAGGGACACCTGATGTAGTACAGCCCATAGGTGTTAGATTAAGCACTTAAACAATAGAACACAGAAGAATATAAGAGACCGAGGAGACGAAAATATAGATTGAAAAGACGTAAGAAAGGGCAGAACAGTAGAACAAGAAGAATATCGGAGGTCGAGGAGACGAAAATATAGATCAAAGGGACGAAAGAAAGGAATGAAATCAGAGAACCGAGAAGGAAGGACAGAAATCACATAGTTTTAAGAGAAGGTTTACTCAATATCCAAATCTGAATTTTAAAGAACTACATGGGGTTATTTATAGCAAACTAAAACCTAGACATAATAGGATAAAAATCCCTTGCTTAAACAGAAATCCTAACCCAAATAAAATAGGAAACTTAAAATTAGAAATCTGGAAATCTGGAAACGTAGAAATCCTACTAGAATTTGAAAAACTAGAGAATCTAGGAAACTAACAAATATATTTAGGTCCTACGTGTCCTGCATCAATAGCCCTATAAGGCCCATTCCACTTTGTATTTCAATGATCTGAACAGTTTATTTTTCAAGTCATCATCCATAGATACTCTTTGCAAAAAATCGCTGAAATCGGAGAACATTTTACTGTAAATTTGAAGATAGTCAATGTAGTGTTTTCTTGGAAACACTGTTCATCATTTTTCATTTAGATGTCTTAAATGGTTTATGATTTGCCCAATATTTTTGATGGATGATCCATGGATGAAGACTTGAAAAATAGATAGTTTGGATCGTTGAAATAGAATGCGGAATGGGCCCCACAAGGTGTCCCTCAAATATCCATCAATAGGAGGGGACTCCACACATTTGTCCCACTTTATGATTAAAAATATTTGGCATTTGAAATCTGTGCAATATATTAACATAGAGCCATCAGACCCCTTCGATCTCATTGGTGAAAATACAAATTATAGGTTTTATGCATACACATGTACTGTTTTTGCAGTGCCATGTCTGTCTAACTCCTTTGGGAATCTAAGATCTTATATGGGGATCCACTTTTGCAGGCTAGTGTTTCAGATGGAGAAATTGACAACAACTTGTCAAGGGTTATGATTGGTGGACTGTTTTTAAGGTAAGCTTTGTTCATTTATAATGTTTCAAGAGTTTTAGTGCTAGTAAATATGTTTTGTCATCGACATTCTCCTGGAGCTCAGTTTGGAATTGAGTAAGGTCTAGTACATGTGACTGTAGTCCTAATGTGTTTCTATTTGTTGTTGAAGCCAATAAATTTTGGATGATATATGTGGCATATGACTTCACCTTTCAATTTGATATGTGCTCAGTCATATGACTAAATCATAATTTATGCTGGTGGCTGGAATGTAGGGATACCTATTCACGACCTCCATGCACCTTAGTTCAACCATCTATGCGAGCAGTTTCTGAAGAACCTTTGCATGTTCCTAATTTTGGTATGGGCTAAATTTATTATGTACAATGGAGAGAAGGGCATTTAATGCAGTGGCTGTGTTTAGGTTTTGGGTAGCTATAGTTTGAAGCTATTCTCTATCGTTTTTGTCTTTTTGTTTGGACAGGTAAAAACTTTTCCCCTCCCATATATCCTTTGGGAGATCAGGAGTGGCAGTTAATTAAGGGTGTTCCTTTTTTATGCCTCCATTCTCTTCAGATCAAGCCCTCCCCAGTCCCTCCATTTTTTGCTTCGCAAACTGTAATTAATTGTCAGCCCCTCATGGTATGTATTGGTTATTCCAAAGTATGAATGCTTATATCAATATTTTTTTTTTTTGTTTCCCTCTTCTTATTTTTTGTTCTTTTGTGAATCATCACGTATAATTTTTCATCTTTTTTGTTTTGATTCCAGATTGATCTCCAGGAAGGATCCTGTTTGAGGATCTGTTCCTTCCTGGCTGATGGAATTGTAGTCAATCCTGGTGCTGTTTTAGCAGATTTCTCCGTAAATTCCTTGATTTTCAACCTCAAGGAGTTAGATGTGGCTGTTCCTTTGGACATAGACAGTAACCCTGCTAACAAAAGGGGCAGTATCAACCAGAGTGCCTTTTCTGGGGCAAGGCTTCATATTGAGAACTTGTTCTTTTCGGAGTCACCGTCACTAAAACTAAGGTTATTGAATCTGGAGAAGGATCCTGCTTGCTTCTGTCTCTGGGAAGGTCAACCGTTTGATGCTAGCCAGAAGAAATGGACTACTAGAGCATCACACCTTAGTTTGTCACTAGAAACATGTACTAAGTCAGCTGGACTTCAGAGTTCTCTTGATCAGAATTCAGGCTTGTGGAGATGTGTTGAGCTGAAAGATGCTTGTGTTGAAGTAGCTATGGTAACTGCTGATGGGAGCCCTTTAACAAATGTTCCTCCCCCTGGTGGTATTGTCAGGGTTGGGGTAGTTTGTCAAAACTATCTCTCTAACACTTCTGTTGAACAGTTATTTTTTGTTTTGGATCTTTATGCTTACTTTGGCAGAGTTAGTGAAAAGATTGTCCTCGTTGGAAAAAATACTGGACAAAAGAAAAATAGGGATCATTCTAGTGACGGAAAGCTGATTGACAAGGTTCCCAATGATACAGCAGTAAGTTTAGCAGTGAAAGACCTTCAAATTAGATTTCTGGAATCATCTTCCATGAATAGCCAAGGAATGCCTCTAGTTCAGTTTATCGGGGATAATCTCTTCATAAAAGTTACTCACAGAACTCTTGGTGGTGCAATTGCTGTTTCATCCACTATACGTTGGGATAGTGTTGAGGTGGACTGTGTAGACACTGAGAGAAACTTGGTTGTTGAGAATGACACAGTTTTAACTTCTATTGAAAATGATCTTTCAACAAGTGGAAATGGGTACCCTGAACTAAGACCTGTATTTTGGATAGATAACCAAAGAAAACATCAATCAAATGGAAAAGTTTTTGTAGATCCGTTTCTGGACATAAGCATGGTACATGTAATTCCTTTAAATGAACGAGATGTAGAGTGTCATAGTTTGAATGTGTCAGCGTGTATCTCTGGTGTTCGCCTAGGTGGGGGAATGAACTATGCTGAATCCCTGCTGCATCGCTTTGGAATACTTGGCCCTGATGGTGGTCCTGGAAAGGGGCTTTCTAAAGAGTTAGAAAAATTACGAGCAGGACCACTGTCAAAACTTTTCAAACCATCGCCACTCATTGCTGATTTGAAAGAGGGTATGTGACAATATGATTTGGATAATCTTGTGTGTTTGATTACCTACAGTCTGTTGTGCTGTTTTTTCCCCTTTTTTTTAAATATATTTCTTACGTCTACTCATTTTATTGTTACTGTAATGGCTCTAATATTCCATTTTCTTCCAGATGGAAGTTCAGGAGATGGGAAAGAAAGTGGGGTTTTGCACTTGGGAAAACCAGATGATGTGGAAGTCTCCATAGAATTGAAAAATTGGTTATTTGCTCTTGAAGGTGAACAGGAGATGGCAGAAAGATGGTGGTTCAATCAGGAGGATGTGGGAAGAGAAGAGAGATGTTGGCACACAACATTTCATAATCTGCATGTGAAAGCGAAAAGCAGTCCCAAGCATATGTTGAATGGTAATGGAAAGTCATACAGGACAGAGAAATATCCTGTGGAATTGGTTACAGTAAGGATATCTCACCCTCATCATTGTCTCTCCCTCTCTTTTTAAGGTTTTAATGTGCTAGTTGAGCTTGAGCCTTTCAAAAGTATGTTTGACGAAACATGCATGCATATTGATTATTGATAGTGAACATTTGTTTTCAAAAGGATCAGCCACGAATAAGGCAGCACCATTGAAACATTTTGTCATTTTGTTTTTGGACATTTCTTGGACATAAAATAGTTTATGGTACCTGGGTGTTATGTTAGGGTATATTGTAAATTTGCAAGGTGCATGCTTTTCTGGGATTATGTCCCTATTATGAGGTTGGTTCACACTTCACACTATGTTACCTGGATCTGGGATCATAACAGAGTAACGCACGAAAGAAAATGAGCATGTGGTTTGCTACCACTTAAGCAATTTGCAGTTTACATTGGTTTAAGATTATCTACATTGCAGTCTACATTAATTTTAAATCTTTAAAACTGTCACCTGTTTTTATCGAGAGACTTCAGACTTCTATGTCACTGTGAGATTAGTATTGCAGTCTACATTGCTTTAAGAAGTCTAATAAGATAGAAAAGGGAGCCTTTGAATATACTTTCTGGAAAAGAAATGGACCATATTCTCTAATGTTTGTATTGTGTTGTTAGATTAGACTGTTTGGTCCACTGTTATTGTAATGTGGTAGTTATCCTAGTGGATTTCTCATCTGCGCAATGTATTAGTTTTTGGTTTAACAAATTTCTGTTTCCTTTTGGAAAAAAGATGTGTATCATATTCTTAAATCGCCTGTCATGATTTCTGTTTGGTAGAGTACTAATGAAGTATGATAGTTCTCGGCTTTACCTTAAGTGGGTCATTATATGAGGGTGAGAAGTTGTCTTGCTCATTCACTCAGAGTACTAAATGGTTGGGATGCAAATTGCAGATATGTAATATAGACCTAACATTTGGTTTTGGTTAGAGGATGATTGAGTCAGTTCTAGGTTGAGCAAGGATATTTTGAGATTTGGGCAAAATGTGCAAAGTACATTCATGTGAAAAGTTCTATGACCTGACAATACTAGAGCATATTCCTTGGTGGAACTTGGCTGGCTCGCGCTGCGCCTGTGCTGCCTTCAATATGTGTTCTGGCACCATAGATATAGTTTGCTTTGTTTATGAATATTATTCGATGAAAATATATGCAACTCATTATGATTCATTTCAATGTAGCGGTTCATGCTCCTTTATTTTAATCATAGAGATATCTAGTTCATGATCTCATACATCTTAATTATGGTTGCAGGTTGGTGTGGAAGGCTTGCAAACTTTAAAGCCCCATGCCCAGAATTGTATTGATGCTGCTGTCTTACCTGTGAATGGGATCAAGGAAACTGCTGACACATCTGCAGGTATAGATCTTGAAGTTCGCATGGTGATATCAGAGGACACGGTTGATCATGAAATGGTGGAATGGGCTGTGGAAAATGTGAAATTCTCTGTTAAGCAACCGGTAATGGGTTTTTTCAAGTTAATAACTGTATCTTCTAGAAAAATGTTCTGCATTATGACACTTTTGTCTCCATAGATTGAGGCGGTTGTGACAAAAGATGAGTTGCAACATCTTACTTTCCTGTGCAAGTCAGAAGTTGAATCAATGGGTCGAATCACTGCTGGAATTCTGCGGCTACTCAAGCTGGAGGGGTCCATTGGCCAGGCTGCAATGGAACAACTAAGCAACCTTGGTATGTTACTAAACTGTTTGTCAGTCGCTGAATACATCTCCTTTAATTCTGATCAGGGTTGTGCTCTTCTTGTTTTCTGAGTCCTGAGATTGCTATGTTAAAATCAAATGACATCTCTTGGCATTTGCACATTGCTTCTAAGCACTAAATGCCTCGAATTACCTGATTCATATGTGGAATTTAGCTGGATTTTCACAATTTTCTTTAGCCAACAAGTTTTATCTGGTATATGTGATTGGGATACTGCTGTAATAATTTTTTCTTCTCAGCCATTTGTGAATTTGGAAATTTGGAAATTTATGAAAATGACTTGCAGGTGGAACTGAGGGCATTGACAGGATATTCTCCCCTGGAAAGCTAAGCAGGGGTAGCAGCTTTTGCAGTACTGGGCTCCCTCAATCAAATTTGATTGGTGAAACCCCATCTACAACCGCCACCTTGGAATCAACAGTGGCTTCACTTGAGGAGGCATTTACAGATTCACAGGCCAAGTGTGCCACTCTTCTTGCCGACCTAGGTAATTCAGAATCTTCCGTGCAGCATCTTGCAACTGTAAAACAGCTCACTCTGAAACTTCAGAGTATGCAGAGTTTATTGACGCAATTACGGTCTCACATATAGTTGGCCAATTTGTGCTATTCTTTCTCCCCTGTTATACTTTGGAATGAAAATAGTCCCAATCATATAGCTTACCCATTCTTTTTTGTATATACGGGAGACCAAATTGCTTGGTGAGTGTTTGTACTAATCAGGCAGAGAGAAAATCTATTCATTTGTCTGGTAAATCAATTTTGTATCTAAGGTCCTATGTATTGATCTAAATTTCTAAGGTATGCCGTGTCACATCTCCTGTTAGCTATGATGATGGCCAATTGGCAAATATGATGTGTACTTGATTTCACGTTTACAAGCTTATAGCAGATTAGCATGCAGTTGATAAAATAACTCATGCATATCCCCTAACTTATAAGCCAAGTTCGGCTATTATCTATAAGCTTCTTATAACCATCTGTAGGGGGGATAATTCAACATGACTCGAACTGAACACGAAATTATACTGGATTTGAGTTAATTATTACTTTGCCATTACCTATAATAGAATTGCAGCAAAGGGCTTGTAGCTTAAGTGTTAAGGGCGTTCACCCATGCATCTTTGGTCATCGGTTCGATTCTCCTCCCTAAATATTGCTTGTATTAAAAAATAAGTCTAAACATTGCTTGTATTAAAAAATAATAGACTTGCCCTGTTAGCTTAATTTTTATTTTATGAAGCATCTATAGATGAGAATGTTTGATTTACAAATAAGGGAAATTTGGTCCCAAGTTTCTAGTTCATAATGCGTGTTGCAATCTGGTCTTAAATTTGGTATAGAAGTACATGTTTGTTGGCCGGGTGCCTGAATTTCTAAATAAGGAATGTAACTGGTTTGCTTTGTAGTTTGCATCATGTTCGTTTTTTCTGTTTTTTCTTTCCTTTTGTTTGAAATGTTACTTCGTAATTTTGTGTCAATACGCCCTTGGCACTAGCAGAATCTCCTCAATCAACGAAGGCTTCACTTCTTCCATAAGAGTACAAACCACGCGAGCCCTCAATGTGCACTGAGAGTTAAACATGACTGGGCTGATACTAAAGCCGAAGTGCGTCACATATTTTATAACATAAAAAGCCTGTAACCGAAAACGATAATATAAAAAGGCACGGCATAAAATGCAAGATTAAATAACATGGTCTAAAATTCTATTAAAGTAGACATGCGATCAACCTCACATAAGTTACACATAACAACTAGGCTGGAGTAAAAGGTTCACCAAAGTCTAGTCATCCGTCCTCTAAATTTCGATCATGAGCCAAGGCGATGAGCATTTTACAAAATTCATGCCAATGTACCCACTTGGATAGGCTTTAAGAATTTTCCATGGCATCCCAGCGCCAAATAGTCCCGTCCTCACAACAGCTGAGAATGGTGCTGCAATATATAATGATACAAAGAGGGTAAATTTTCACATTATCAAAGGTTATGGCATTTACAATGTCATATAAATATATATGTAACAAAAATAATGGCAAATAAACCATGTAGGAGAGTCACCTTCCATCAAAAGACGTGGCAGTTTGTCTAATTGGCGATTTTGATTGAGGATGTATCAACCTGAAAAAGGTGCAAGGCTATGATTACCGACCGGCATATAGACAAAATTTCTTCAGCATGAAGTTTGGGTAAAGAAAAATAAAACCAAACGGACTTTGCAATTAGAACAGGAGGGCTGGATTGTAGTTCCCAAACAAAAATCTTTCCTTCTCTATTCCCTGCTAGACAGAAAACAGTAGAGGCTAAGAAGTCGACATATAGTTGTGCAACAGTTGGAACATCTAAAGTTTACATTTGAAAGTATCAAGAATTATATCAACTGCAGTTTGCATTGACCTATAGCAGCTGCATTGTAGTGGAAATCACAGGAAAACTTGATGAACCAAATATCACACTCCGGAACTGGGTATTTTTGAAGGATGTCAACAGTACCCTAATCAGAAAGCATCCAATAACATTTTAGCCCACCAGAAAGTAGAATCACTGGACTTCTACACAGTCAACCAATATCAGCAGAAATTCATGGAATACACCGTAAAGGATAAGAAAATATAGGGCTTGTTTGGTAACTGTTTCGTTTATAATTAGAAAGATAAAGGGAAAAAGAAAGGGACTAAGGACATTGAGTAGCCAGATAACAGAGGGTGAGGAAGAAAAGAGAGAAAATAAATAGAATAGTTTATAGAGTAAGATATAAACACTTTTTAGACTTGTCTTTAGTTTAAAGTATTAGTTTAATAATATTCCACTCATTTCTTCCTCACCTTTCTCACCTCCCTCTCTCTCTCTTACTCTTCTGCTATACATTCTCTCATCTCTTTAAATAAATTTTTTTTAAATGATAAAAACCAAAAAACAAAAAAGTTATCGGCCATTAACATCTAAAACAAGAGGAGCAAGGTATTCTAACCTCCCCAGGAGACTGTTCCTTCATTTTCGGTTCCCACAGCACAATTTCATTGTCAACACTCTGGAAATTCACAACATAATCCATTAATGTAATCATTAGAGAACATATGAAATCCAGCTACAACAGAAATCTAAAAGCAATTCAAGCTACCCATATTTGAAACTTATTTGTTATATGTGGAGAAATTTAGCACACCATGCAAAATAGCTATTAAACTTTATCTTGCTTTTAGATGATCTAATAAGCTATGCAGAGGTTGATACGACCACAAACAGATGAACCAACCTTTCAGGCATTGATATGTCATTCTCATGAACTCATTTGAACCAGCTGATTGTGCTGATTTAAGCTACATCAATTAGAAAAGGTGACATATGATTTGAGATATTAAGATTTTCCATCCTATACAATGTGGCTCTTTTCCATTCCCAAAGCACCTTTAGACTTTTACACTGACAAAAATGAAAATACAGGATGAAATTGTGATTCACCTTTGAGAGGAGAAAATCACCAAGCCACCTATTACAGTCAACGTAATTTGTATGAATGGAGGCTATGAATACCTGAAAGGTTAAAGTAATCTCAGATAAAATGAGAATGAAAACTCTAATCTGTAACACAGAGAACAACAGGTACTCACGGGAAATTGCACATATTTTGTTGGAAATTTTGATGGAAGATCTGTCCAAGTGAAAGATTTTTCTACATAGGTCCAGAACTCTGAAACAAAGCAATATATGAGAAAATAAAGTAAAAATAATATTTGATTACACCTAGTCAACACATGTACAAACTTTCAATCAAGCACTCTGACCCTGAGATGACATTACTTGAAAAGCGCAACATTAGAAGTCATGCATAACCCATTACTTTCTCAATACTAGTAAAACAATGAGGGCTTCTTCTATTTTCTATTATTAATATATATTCTACCTTTTTCAGAGGCATAAGTATACACATGATACTGATTGTCTCCACAACAACTCTGTGTAATCTCAAAGTCCAGTCTATCAGACAGGATATTGTGAATGGCTAAATTTGCGACTATTGTGATCCATGTCACATAGTTACATAACTATGGCGTACCAAACCAAATTATGTAAATTGTCATATGGAGCAGCACCATGAAGTCCTACCTTTCATTGACCAGATCTTAACAGTGTTGTCCATCCCACAACTTGCAATTCGATATATGTCAGAAGGATGAAAGTCCTATAATAATGAGAACAAGGTAAGTATAAACAGCCTATCAAATCATTTTCTTGCATCACAATCTTCACTACAAAACAACGAAACAGTAGATTTCTTTAAAAAAGATTAATTGAAGGGTGGCAGGACATAACTCCTCGTCTAATATGCTTACCACACTCAGGACTTCATTGCGGTGACCACCTGCGCCAGCAAATATCAAAATACATATTCCAGTATGAACATTCCATAGCCGAACTGACTCATCCTGGCAAGTTCTAAGATTACCAATAAAGCAAACAAAAAACAAGATCTTCAAAGAAAAAAAAGGAAAAGGTTATTGTGTTCACTTTGCTTGCTGACACTACAAGTGACGACTTCAATGGCTGAGTCCTGATTTCATTTATTGAATCCCCATGGCCAACAAAACTCTGCACATAGATTAGTATGTTAGGAGGGGAGGAAGAATGTAAAGAAGAAAAAAAAGTCCTCTAGTTTTGTTGCCACTCTGGCAATTTGAAAATTTTCAGAAATTTCAGCTGAAATAGATGTACACCTACATCCTTATTGTATGCTAAGTATAGTAAAAAGCACCCAAGCTACTACAACTGCACCACTATATAGAGTAGGAGCTCGGAACCAGTACTAAGATACCTTGTCTATCTTCTCACTACCACAATCAATGACCCGCATTATACCATTAATTCCTCCAGCCACAAGAAATGGGTTTCCATCAACATTGCATGCCCAGCTCGCAGTGTAAAAAGACTCATCCTTCTGATCTACAAAGCACATGTAAATCACATATCCGCAAAGAAAAGTTTTAAAAATCAGCAAATGAATGCTAAACCATATGATAAGTGACCGACAAGAGAACACTAATCCATTTGAAAAATGGCAGAATGATGGCTGTCTTTACTTACATCTTCATCAATGTAAGACTGCAACACAGCGATCACGCCCCCTTCTAGACATTGGTATACAGTCACCTGACAAAAGAATAAAATAAAAATAAGCAACAATTTACAACAAGTACAAGAAATAGAGGAAAGAGAACCAACCTTGTAATTTGTCTCTCTCAGATAAGATTTTTACGCAAATAATCACTTATGGGAACTAATTCATGTTGTTTATTTGCAAATGAAGCAGTGAACTATAACATTACCAGCTCAGAACAACTATAATTCACCCCTACCACAGCTGCATTGCAATCCAATATTGTAAATATCAAATGTGGTGCCTTTTGCGTTTTTTCCCCCAAACACTAACCTTAATAATCATTTCATTGTATTCCAAGGCCCTAATTTTCGTCTATGTAAACAAATTATTAGGCAAAGCCGAGACCAAAAACCCAGATAGAGCCGAAATCTCTAGTAATCCACTCTATCTAACAAAACCCATTAAAACAAAATATAATAAATAAATAAAAAATAATAACAATCAGCCAAAAAAGCATAAAATCTCTGTTTGGTTCCCGAGAAAAAGAAGGAAAGTCCAGCTTACAATCCCGGCATTGGAGTTCCATTGTAAATTTCTTTTACAAAAAAAGAGTTCTTTTTTGTTGCTTTTAGTTCCTTGTAGGATGAGTTATAGAGGGCAAGAGCAACAAACCCGATTGCCACCGACTGTGGCGAAGACGTTGAAGTAGCGAGAGTCGATGAAGTTGAAAACGATGGCGTATAAGGGCCTCTTGCCCTCTTGGAGCCTGTTAGTGACTCT